TGGGACAGACATTGATTGGACACTCGGCAAGGGACTATTTTTGGGACTTCGCTATTGCGATCTTGGTCTATTCCCTCGCCTCCTTCCTCCTTGTCTCGTCCCTCCCCCATCTCTCATCCGTGGTATCTCCCCATGTATGTGTGCGAAGGAGGGACCTTTCTTCCATGATTGCGGTCCCTCCTCTCTCTCTCTCTCCTGTGTGATGTATGATGGATGTCGGGTCAGCCCAGATCAGATCAGATCTTCTCTTTAAGTCTTCCACTGCGCCATTTTGTGCCATCTTGTATGTATTCGGAATATACATTGCTTGTTGATGCTACGCTGACCTCGCATTGTCCATTTCAGTCCTTTTCATCACATAGCAGATCCTTGGCTCCCTGCGCATTGTCCCATTGGGCATGCGTCACTGGAGCAGGGCTAGCACTCAGCGGCGCTGCTGGGAAAGGAGCAAAGACACGGAGGAGGAAGAAGACCAGAGCTAGGAAGGGGAGCGCCAGAGGTACTTACCTGGCTATGGTGGTTGCCATCTTCATCATGGGCGTTGCAGCAGGAAGGCCCGGTTGGGGCAGAGCTACACCAAGAAGCATTGAGGCAGAGTCAGGCATGGCGGCCTGAGCTAGAGCAGCCATGGCTGCTTTGAGTTATCCTTTGGACAGCAGGGCGATGCCCTGGTAGTCCGCCATAGCCTCGGCCTATGAGGAAGAGAGAGAGGGGCGGCCACGGCTATGGTGGACCTCAGGTGATACCTGCAGTAGAAGAGGGACTTGGGCATTGATTCTGGATCAGCCATTCAACATTGGTATTATTATTCTCGTTTGGAATAAGAGGGGAAGAGATAAGGAGGAGGAGAGTAGTTGGCGAAGAAGAAGAGCATTATCATTGGTCTATGCTGGTGTACATCATCTTCTTCTTATTTCTTTCTTCTTCTTCTCACCCTCGCTCTCCTCTCAAGTTCATTCATTTCTTTTTGCAATTAGACGGCATAGTACTTTCTGATGAATGTGTGAAGTGATAGTCAGTAGTGTATGTGTGTGTGTGATACAGAGTAAGAGTGCATGGGACATCCAGGGAGATCCAGCGTGGTGTGTGTGTGAACAGTGGTTGTGAATACAGTGTCGGGAGTGAGATGTGTAGGCGTTCAGGCGCCATAGCCAATTTGAAGCGAGTTTGCATCTGAACTGTGTTCTCGGCCTTAATATCTCTGAGCTTTGTGTGGGCGCCTGGCGCCAGTGTTAATTGCCATCTGTTTACATGCATGCCGGAAGAGTGAGAAGACGAGTCTGATTGCACCATGCTCATTTTCTTTGTATTTCCAACTGTCCAATAATCACTGAATTTGAAACGAAAAAGCTTCGATCCAAAGACAGTGCAGACGAAGAATTTTCTCCAAATGCCTGTTTCAATGCTTGGGGAGGGGTCTGTTAAACCACCTGTTGTTCCAAGCCTCTTTTTCCCAATGCTGATTTTTGCCCGGCCCTAAGAAATCTGCTTGGTTGCGGCATGCGATTTGATTGGCACCTCTAGCGCCTTCTTCGTGATGGGTAATCGAACCCTTCTGCATGCCATGTTACCCGGTAGGCACTTTTTCAAATACTGAGCCAACAACATGTGAAGTTCCAGCTGTGTCTATGATGTCACACTGTGCTCAATCAAAATATGGGGTAGATCAAGGAGATCTTGTGCCATAGCGAGGGTTGATGTCTGCTGTGGCCAGGGAGGTCATCCACTATATTGCATGTTGGGCAACATAGTAGCAGCATCATGAGGGCAAGAGTAGCCTTCAGCCTCCAGCACTCTCTCTGTGGCATACTGCGTAGCCACACGGGCCCTGTAGGACCCGTCCCGGACATTCAGCCTAAAAGCCTAAAACTTAGGATCTACAGGCCCCGGTCGTTTCAGCCTGAAAACTGAAAAACGAGGG